AAAAAAGTAATCTAAATTTACGAATGCATGTACAGTACTGTAAATACAGTACATACTTGTAAATGTATATATTTTAATATGATTTTATATGCTTTAAACATTTTTCTAGTGATATTACGACTTCAATATTTGTGGCGGACAGACGTAAAGTCGAATAAAATGACTTAAACTTGATTTTTATTTTTCCATATACTTTTTTGACAAACGACGTATAATTGGGAACGACGTAACTCGAAATGACGTAAGTTGAGGTATACCTGTACAGTAAAATTGTACATCATTACTTTTCCTATTTTATATCCAATCTACATTGAATGCAGAATTTACAATCTACTATATACATCTATATAAATAAAAATGTAAATGTTCATTTGTTCAAAATCTTAAATCTCCGAAAGTTCTTAACCAATTGCTTTGAAATTTTGACAAAATGTTGCATTCAAATACGCTCATGTTTTTAATATTATATAGATGTCAAAATTCCCCTGTGGGGGAGAGGAACAAAATTAAGGCTGACCATGAAGAACTTGGCTTCTATTATACTATTTTAGATGTGTTTTCCATTTTTTATTGCATTTTAATAGGGTACGTCAAGAGAATGTACACTAAGAAGGGATTTTTTGAAATTCTCTCCCACGGAAAATGTTATACATTTATAATAGGTACATTTTGAGCCACAGTAACGCATGGCCACCCGGCCATGCATTGCAGTGGTACTGCTGCTGTGGTACTGTGGTTGCTGTGGTAAGCTGGGTACAGCTAGTATATATATAAAAGTTTAAAAGTCAAAATATATATGTACATGTATATGTATGGTAAAGGGTTCTATCATATCATTCAACATATCCATACTAAATTTTGCATGAATATTCTTCAACACCCTAGAAAAAATACTGTGGAATCCCCATCCCAAATCACTTCTAAAGCCCATCCCCTCTAAGCTTAAGCCCAAGCAATTTTTTTTTTTTGTGTTTTGCAGTTTCATTATCATAAATAATTCAGGTCAATAAATGTAAATTTTAGTTACTAAGACCATTGTTTTTATCACTCCCTCCCAACCCAACTTCTCTCAAAAGCATGAGAAACATCAGGCACATGTAGCCAGTGATTATATAAAATATTAGTCTGTAAATTTTTTGCACAATACTGTAGTTAATATTATTTCTTATTTTCAGACAAAATAATTTGTAAATAAATATGATAAATTAACAAAATTTGTTTTATAAACATGATTAAAATTCTCATTGATAAAAAGATACAAAGCTAATGTCTGAATGGCTAAGTCCAGATTATCTCTGCTCCCAATGATGCTGGATTAAAGTATTCTGTATATAATTTTCAAAATAATCTTTGTCAGGTTGCCACCATTGTCAAGTTGATTGCCACCAAATTGTTGTAGACCAGTATGAACACATACTGTCTATATAGTTAAAAATATTTCTTCCATATAGATATATTTGTTTGAAGGAAAAAAGCAAATTTTAAACAGCTTTCAGTTAAAAATGATAATATAAAACTATATCTTCAATTATAAAGCTGAAAAATTTTCAGTATTATAAAAAATGTGTAATTATTTCATAAATTGAATCCTTGATCTCAAACAACTTTTTGTAATTCTTAAAATAAAACTATTAATGTTGTTAAAATAAAATTGTAAAAATGTCAATATTCAAATTTAAAAAATAATAATAAATGATAAAAAATAATGTAGGAGGTATGGTTCCTGTATCTTCAAATTCTGTGCGACATATTAAAAAGTTGCATTTTTGACTTAACGTAATAAAAATACTTTTATTCAACATTCACCATCAGTGCATGCTGAATGTCGACATTTGCTGGTGTAAGTGAGAAATAATGATATTTAGCAAATATTTCGTACATACACGAAACGACTGTGTAAATGCTGACATTAACCGGAGAATCTCGACATTTGCCAGATATCAGTCTTTCACAGTAACATATACACATTAAGAATTATGTATAAGATACATAAGACACTGAACATACCTTACACATTTTTCTAGCAATTAATTTTAATTAAAACAAATGTCATCATAGCCTGTTGAAGTATTTCATTTATTTTTTGTTACTTTATTTTTATTCTTAATTGCATTCTATTTTATTTTTTGTTTTATTTTTATTTTCATATTTAAATGTATTTTATTTCTATTGTAATTCTTTTGATAATCAAGAATACAATTATTTTTTAAAAACATACTATGTTCCAAAAATAGAATTTCTATTTCAAAACCTGATGAAGGTTTATCAATCAAGCTAAAAACATTTGTTTTAATTAAAATTAATTGCTGGAAAAGTGTATTCAGTGTCTTTACATACAGTGGTAATTCCAGCTTTGACTATTATGGGTTTCTTAACGGTCAATCAATTTATCTCTTATACTGATATCAAGAATGGAGGATGAATGTGAGCTTAAAACAGACAACATTAAAACAAAATATCAATACAATAAGATCAAGTCAGTTTTAGAATTCAATCCAGGTGATGTCAAACCAGCCAAAGTGTTAAGATTCTATGCAGAAAGTTTAGTAAATAATAGACAGGAGGCTAGTTCCAGGTGTGTACAGAATACCGTTGCATGATAAAAGGCTAAAGAAAGAGTTATATTATATAGGAGCCACAAAGAGATCATTAAGAGAAAGATTGAAGGAGCACGAAAAAAATATAAGATCTAAACAACCGATCACGGCTTTGGCCAATTATGCTATCGCGGATCCTGCAGAGATTACAATCGAATGGAGCAAGGCGGATATTATACAAAAGATTGCTAATATACGACATCTAAAGTATGCAGAGGCATGGCACATTTATAAATACAGAAAAAAGGGGCTAAATATAAATTTTCGAGAGTCAAGTAGAATAGCAACGGCATGGAGAGCGGCGGCATTATAAAGAGCTAATGGACATGCGCGATCGAATATCTGAAGATTATAGAACGTGCGTTGTTCGAATTACCGTTGGGAAAGTTCAAATTTTTAAAATTTTTTACATCAATCCTGAAGAAGGTCTATGAATTAGACCGAAAACGTTAGAGAACTAGACAAAAGTAGACTGCATTTTAAAGATATAGTGGAATGTAGTAATTAATAATGCAGTTAGAGATTTAATAATTA